CTGCCAAATCGTCCGCAGCTCGTAAATCCACCACTGTCCGTCGTTAACATCTATACTCCTCACTACTTCGCTCACCTCTTCCTCAGAACGCAGCTGGTGGTGTCAAGAAGCCCCATCGTTTCCGGCCGGGAACTGTCGCCCTCCGTGAAATTCGTCGCTACCAAAAATCAACTGAGCTCCTCATTCGCAAGCTCCCCTTCCAACGTCTCGTTCGTGAAATCGCACAAGATTTCAAAGTGCGTTCCGAGCTTGCTTCCATTGTTCGCCTTTTCTTACTCTTCCTCCCAGACTGATCTCCGCTTCCAATCATCCGCTGTGATGGCTCTGCAAGAAGCAGCAGAAGCATACCTCGTCTCCCTCTTTGAGGACACCAACTTGGCCGCCATCCACGCCAAGCGCGTCACCATCCAGCCTAAAGACCTTGCCCTCGCTCGTCGGTTGCGTGGAGAGCGGTCATAGATTTTTGGGCTGTGTTTTCCTCTATTGTTATATTCATTTTGTACTATTAGTGTATTTTATTCACTGCATTCATTCTCATCCCTCCTGCATTCTGCACGACTAAGTTTTCCTGTCAACAAACATTTTCAACGCGACGCGTTCCTCACGTGTCGCACGTCGGGTCATCACTTCGCATCCACTGTCCATCACTGCGTTCGCCACGCAAAGTGTCTAAAAGCTAACACTGGTAAGACAACACTTGGTGTCATAGCTAGACCTCTTGAATGTTGCTCGAATGGTTACTTTATTGGAGAGGTTTGGGAGAGGTGCACAGTCTCTCCTCGACAGTCTATTCCTGCCGAGAGCGTGAGAGGAAAATTCAAACAAATATGCATAAATTGGTATCTTGCCAGCTGCACTCTTCCGTCTCATTGTCAATGCTCATCGATGCATCATCATCTCTTGCAGATGGGCACTCTGTCTATACCTTTTGTTGCTTATGTACGCGGAATACGCGCCGGTAAACAGGTCGAGCGGGAAGGGAAATATCATTATCAGGTGACCGCGTCAGCACTGCTCTGCTCCCTAACGTCGAACGCTCTTGTCCTCAACCACCACCATCGAGGCATCCGTCTATTCTGAGGACGCTCCCAGCTGCTCCTTGATCATCTCTCTGCTCTTGCTCTTAATCACCGCCGTACATAGCAATCTACGCGCAAACCGAGACACATACTTACTACCACTTCATATCATGTTCGACGACCATGACGCGCCTTGGTCTTCCAGCTCGTCTCCTCCATCATCACCGACTGTATATGTTGACTCTTCGCCCTCCCCTGCTCCGTATCACGACGTTGACGCGTCAAGCGACTACGGCGACGTAGATTCGTTACGCGTATCAGCTTTGCAGGACCCGTTCGCGGCGTCGGCGAAGAGCGAGTCTTGGAGGGTGCCGGACTATGAGAAAGGGAAGAAGATGCGCCGGCAGGAGTCGCCAGAATCTCCTTCCCGTGTTCGCACCAAGAAACCTCGGCTCCTCAGCCCTGAATCATCTTTCGGGACGCTCTCGTCGTCTCCTCCTCTTCCTCGCCCTATGCTCCCAAGCAAGGAAGACGTGGAGCAAGACATATGGAACGGGGCAATTGATAGACTCTATCAAGTAAGGAACGGGACCGTCGATCTCAGGTAACACTTTTGCTGTACATGAACCGACAAAACTGACGTTGAACTTCAAGCGATTCCGGGGTCACTTCCCTCTCCGATCACACTATTCAAGAGCTCTTCAGCTATTTTTCCCTTCCGGATCGCGGCGAGAATTTAGACTCTCCAAATCCAGCGCCGCTTCAATTTCCCTCATTCTCTAACTTCAAACGGAGTTACACGGCCCCTGCAGTGCTCTCTCGCGATCGCCCGGGCTTGCAACTGCATCTCTCCCGCTGCCAAATCTCCAGACTGCCCATTCGTTTCTTCGCCTTGAAACAGCTGACCATTCTCGTTTTGCGTAGGTTTCCTGCTTGTGTGTATAAACGAGATGCTAACCTCGACGGCAGGAAACAATATGCTTGAGACCCTGCCACCTGAGATATCTCAACTGACAAACTTGCTTGAGCTTAATATATCTGGCAACCAACTGGCTTATCTGCCGTCAGAGCTGTTCAGCATGAAACTGGAACATCTATGGGTTTTCCCGGGCAACAAGTTCATAGAAAAGCCTGATGCAGAGAAGTCTGTTGAAGAGCCGCTTGCTGCACGCTCGTCCTCATCGAATCAGTTGTTCCCTCGAGAGAAATCGCGCGGGCGCGTTGCGATCTCCGACACCGTCAGCACCTCTTCTAGTCGCATCCCTACGCTCGTCGAGTTGTGCTTTCGAGTGCTCTTCTCAACAGATGTCGGGGCACCTACAAAGCGTCAAATTATTCAAACGTATTATATGCTCCCCCTTCCTGATCCCGATCATGTTATCCCTCCCCTCATACGCCGGACCTTCCACGCGATTCATCGAGGGAGTGTCGTCGCCGACACTACTCTAATCGAGGACGAACCACCCAGCCTTGGGGTCTGTCCCTCTCCCCGTCACGGTGACCGACAATCTGTCTTCTTGACTCCTGCCGAAGAAAGATTCACATGGGAGGCAGTTGTCGCTGGTGAGGAGGTCGGGGGATACGTACCCATACGGTGGCGTGGTTGTTCGTCAGGGTGCCTGGACTTTTTGGGCAGCGCTGAGGCCGGGAAGAAGTCTCCTCCATTGATTCGAGAGGAGCTTGAGGTCAGTGACGCTGATCCTGGTGATGTGGTACAGCAGGTGCAGCTGAACAAAGATGGGTTTGGGGAGGAGGATTTTGACGACGATGAGTGACAAATGTATTACTGTACTGCTTTAGGCGACTTTCAGCCGTTGGAAATCAATCCAAGGAAAGATCCAACAACAATTCGAGATGCAGCACATCCGGACTGGATACTGTCACTGACACTAACACATCTAATGGACATTCTATCTCATCGGTACATGATCTCTCAGCCACTTTATAGTCTCCTCGTTCGCATTCAACAGCGGATCCAACCCGCCGAACTCCCAAGATTGAGCGATGGGGCCTTGGTCAGGTAAATGTGGAGGGAATATCGACAAAGCTGCAAGAGATAGATAAGTGTGATATGGGTCTGCCAACTCGTCAGTCCCAGAATCATGAACGAAAACAGCAAGCTGACCTGGTGTTTCGTCTGGCATTTTAGCAATTCCACCAAACTTGAATTGACAGCGCGAGATGAAATTTGCGTGCGACTCGGCGTCGATTAGGTCCACCGCGCCGAGAATCTGAAGTAAAGTGTGTACGAGAAGCCTCTGAATGCGGATATTCAAACCTTGAGCGCTGCGCCGCACCAAAAGCTGTAGCACGCGTCCGCCGGTTTGCCAGTACGGCCACAGAATCCACCGGATCCATGTTGATTGTGAATGAGCCAGTGTATCGACTTTTCTCGTTGTTCCCGAGATAAAGGCAAAACACCTTCTGCTCGAGGGGCAAGGTGCAGAGACGCCAGCGCGATATATGTCGGTCCGCCTGTAAGGATTGTCAGATTGACTTGTGTACTAGAGCGATCCACTCACCGGACGCTTCGCAAAACGAAGCCTGGCCGTAACCCCCTTCATACGTCTAACAGGAGATAAGCGAGCTTCAAAATAACGGGTGGATCCGTACTCTGCACGTCTCGATAAACTTGAGAGCTTGCTCGACGTTGACCCCAGACCAGTCGTCGAGCATATCGCAGATGCAAAAGGCACAGTATAGCGTGCGCAAATCGGTTTCGCCGTTTCCGGGAACGATAGAGAAACTGTTGGCTGTTGGAATTGCGACAACAAGATAAAACGTCCTGACCTTCCATCGTCTCGCTGGCATGCACGTACAAATTTCACAAGGCCAGCACGGTCTAATTTCGAAAAGTCATCCCGCAGAATGGCCAAGGCGAGCAAAGCCGTGTAGGTCATGACGAGATGAGGACCGTTGTAGTCTGTATACGGTTTCTGCGCGCTCTTAGCCGACGACGATGCAGCAGAAGGAAACCAACCGGAGTCGAAGAGTCCGGGGTGGCGAACGGACTGGGTCTAAATCCAGTGCCGTGAACACCTTCTGAGGGGAAGTCAGGATTTGGAGCCCGGCTTTGAGGCACGAGGATAGCGACGTGTCTGCTGCTCCCATATCCATTCCTTCCATGATATGCGCTCCCGTTCCGTCGTTTTCGCTTGTACGGCGCCGAGTAGATCAAGCGACCCCAGACAGTAGAAAATCAGAGCCAGCCTAAGAGTCGGTCAGGATTGTGGTTCCGTGCAGTAGATCCAGCATGCCGAGAAGAATCCAGCTCTGATTGAGACGCAGGCAGGCCAGACAGACAGCGGTTTACATGGCCGATGTGTCCCCCTCGTGCAAGTTTTGGGAGATTCATGGAAAGTTGCTTTACTTACGTGATCGATCAAAACTGGACTTGACCGCTTCACCAACAGTGGCAGAAGCTTTTTGGCTGCAAGTAGTGTCTCCCTGGCTTGTTACACTTCGTCTGGCGACAGTTTTCTCTCTGATTTGGCAATAGAGGGTCCATACATCGTTCTCGGAGCAGCCACTGTTTGAAAAATAAACAAAAGACCGGAACCACCAATGGTGAAGCGGTCATCCTACGTTCGTAGTTACTCCGGTCAAACCTCAACTCTGGCTAAACATTGGACAAAGCTTAACATCCTCTCACTGTTGACTTCTTGCTGGTTCGGTAGTGCGCCCTCCCTCGCCCGAGCCGCGGTCATCTGCTTCAGACATTGTCGGCTCTAACGACTGCGCTCAATTCCTGTTTTCTCCAGAAACTCTATGCTGCCAGGCACCTCAACGCGCACTCCACCACTCACATCTAGATAGTCACTCCGTCGCCCAATACCTAACCCATGCTTCGACATCCTCCGCTTTGAAATATACCAAATTGGGAAATCTTCAAAATATCGCATCAAATTTTGATGTGAGCTCTTTCCCCGCTTCCTACGCGCTTTTTACCACTCCAGCGCACCTTCTTCTACTCTTCCCAGCACACCAATGGTGAAGCGGTTATCATGCTTGCCTTCCACGAAAATTCTCACGTGACTCACGTGATTAAAACGTGACTTGTAGCAAGCGGCAGGGGTTCGACTCCCCTTTGGTGTATTTTTTTTCAACCGAGAAGGCGCTTCTAAGTTGTTTTCAGGTCACTTTTTCGACTCCGACCACCCCAAGTTGAGTAATAGCAGCAAGCAAGACGAGCGCACCCAAACCCTGAGTTTGAGCTTTTTAGCCCTGGAATTCCAATCAAGTCGTAAATTTACTCGTCATGTATCTCTTGGATGGATCCCCGTTCAGAGGTCCTAAATTTCGGATGGAATCTAGTATTTCGATGGTTCCTCTTGGGTTCCTCGACTAAATTTTAGATGGCTAGGTTGCCGCTTAACTGAAACTAATTCAAAGTTTAGGCATCAATGCAAACCCAACAGCTCAATTATCAATTTGTCCGCAGACTCGACTCTCCTGATCCTACTCCGCTCGAGCAGCTCTAACTCATCATAGCGCTGGAAAATCCTGCGGACCGATGTATCGCAAAACCTCCATCAAGTAGTCAGCGACCGGTTGAGTCACCCACATCTCTTTAGCCCAACAAGGGACTCAGTCAAAACTACGCGTTACATAACATACAGGAAAGTGCCAGATAGAGACATGAATGCGTAGAGTAAAGATAAATATTATGCAAAATGAGCGTGTGCGATGCAGAACATGGCAGAAAAAAGCGTTCATGAAACGTCTCCAAACTCGGACACCCCTCCTCCGTTGAACATCGCCTTCAGCGTTTGTTCGTTTCTCTTCTGTCGTACCCTCTCGGTTTCCTCCGCGCCGCCAGTCATCTTGAGCTTCTTCCCAGCAACAAAGTCGGTCAGCTCCGCTTGCATCTCGTCCGACCTGCTTGCCAGCTCCTTCTCCCGAGTCTTTTGGCTCGCCTCGATGGCCTTCATCCGCCGTTCAGGATCGACAGCCGCGCCACGTATTTCCATCATAACGGTACTCAAACCACCGTGCCCTTCCTCGGGAGGAGGTGGCCTGAAACCTTTCCTTCCGCCGCGATTGCCAATTGAGCCGGGACCCCGGATGCTGACAATCTTTTCAACGTGTCCGTACACCTCTGCGAGCGCCTTGTGATCTTCCAATAGATCCTCGAGGAACTGCTCCTGGTGCGTGAGGAATCCCTGCTCGTCGACGATATTCTGCAATTCCTCCTCCCATGTCTTCTTCCACATCGGCTTGATCGTATTGATGTGCTCCTTCAGACTCTCCAGCTCCGCCGCAACACTCTCGATGTCCTTCTTGACATTCTTGAAATACAGCGGCTTGGGAGTGATCTGCCGCTTAATCACGTCGTCCTTGACGCCCTCGACGATGTCTTGGAGTTTCTCTACCTCCGTCAGCACGTTCTGACTGCGAGTATCCAGCTTCTTCTTGCCCGTATCGATGTAGCCCCTGGCCCCACCGACATTAGCACTGGCAAGCTGTTTGACCGATTGCGTCTGGCTCCGAAGCGAACCCAACGAATCTTTCGTCGACTTCATGAACTCCGTATACAGCTGTCGCATAACCCCCAAGTCTCGTCGTAGATTCTGCACTTCGTCAAATTGAGTCTTGAGATCCGTGACAACGCGAGATGAATAATCTGATAACAAAGAGCCGCCTGTTATTTGCGGTTGCAGCGACTGGCCGGTGATCTGAGGCTGCACCGGTGGAATTGGAGTCGGCGGGTTTTTCAACGAGGAACCCTCGCCGACGAATCGGGAAAGTCGGCGAGCAACGGTTTGGAATTGACGGTCGGACGGTCGCATGGGCGCAGGAGTACTCTCGGCCAAAGGTTGTCCAACGATCGAAGGCAGGTGTACGGATTGCCTATTGTTGTTGACCGCTGTTTTGAGATCTTTGATGTCCTGCGATAGATGCGAGATCTGAGCGTCTATGTGCTGTTTGATCTGGTCGAGAGCTGTTGGACGAAATTAAACATCAAGACACAATCACGAGTTCGCAGAACGTACGCTCGATATTTAAAGAGAGCAAACACCTCTCTTTGACTTCTTCCATATCCTCCAGCTCATATTGGACTCCGCTGGACGGATCACGGATGTATATGGCAGGGAAATTCTCAAGACCTGGGTTGTACGAGAATTTGTCGACGAACAGTACCCGAAGCGAAGCAAAGGAGAGGCGCGTGTCAACCGTCACCTTTTTCACTTCTCTTCCTAGCTGTAGGAAAACAGTGACGCGAGAAGGATCCTGCGACGCGACAGCAACATCTGAAGCAGACTGTTCAACGGGAGATGGCGTATGGAGAATAGGTTCGGGAGTTCGAGCTGGAGTCGCAGGAAGAGGGGGTACGGGGGGTGTCCCAGCGGGCTCTTGACGGCGCTCCGGTGTGCCAACAGGGCTTGTCCGAGACCGTGAATTGCTCCTTCCTAAAGGAGGAGCGACCGGTTCCTCGTCGTCTACCTCAGTGAGCACGGCGAGATCACCTGGTGTGAGCGTCGATCCAGCGGCTAACGATCGCCTGTTGGCAGCGCCAGCACCAGTTCGCGTAGAACGCTCCCGTGTTGCCGGAGCACCTGTCATTTTCGAAATGTTATATGTCGAAAAACGCTTCGACGCCCGACGTTCCAAGGTGTCATTCTTTTTCAGAGCAGCAAGGGAATTCTGCACAGCAGGCGCCTGAAGAGCATCTATGGGTGGCGTGTCTGGTGGAGGTGAAGCGGTGCCATTGACGCGGTCGAGATCCGGGCTGGGACTCGAAGGCTCAACCACAACCGCTGGAGTGTTGAGTGGCTTATCCACCAACGAATAGCGCTTTACGCTGGGCGGTACACTTGGTGCGGGTGGTGGCACTTGTGTTTGGTCGTTGGGAGAGTTTGAGGCAATTTGGTGTTGATCTTGGAAGGAATCAGCAGGAGGCGGATCAATGGGAGGCGGGACTGTTCGCGCTTTGCGGGACTGCGAATCAGTGCGCGGAAAGTCTTCTGGGTCCGGGGTAGTGTCAGGTTCAGCAGGCTGTTCTGTGATTGAGGGCGCAAATCCTCCCACAAATGCATCGAGGGAACCACTATTATTCAGCGGCGAGCCATTGAGAGAAGGGGAAGCAGGGTCCCTGCGTCGACTAGACTGCTGTGCACTTCTACGCGAAGAGGTACTATCTCTATCTCGTAGGGTAGTGGTGGGAGTGGGGGGAGTTCCTTCACCTTCCGTGAAGTTTGTCCGAGAGAGCTGGGAGCGATGAGATCCCTCTCGGCGCGAGCGCGAAGAGCGGCTCTCGCGATCTCCGGAGTGCTCAGACCGATGGCGCTGATCAGAGACTATGCGTCGGTAGATAGACTGCTTGCCGCGAAGGCCTTGCAGCAAATTCGTTATTATTTGCCGCACGGTGGGGAGGTAAAGCTCAAGATTATCGGCAGTAGCATCTTCCGCTAGGCATTGCTCCAATACGTTTCGTAGGTCATCCGGAACGGTCATTAGTTCACTTGATAGAGCGACTTTGTCAAAAACAATCAATGAACCAGAGATTGTGATATGACGCACCTCATATCGATATTGAAAGCTGCAAATGCAGCGACTGCAGCATTGAAGTCGTTTCCCAGCCGAACGTACACGTCGCTGACATTAGTTTCGTCAATCTTCAGTAAACTCCATTGCGTGAGCGACTCGAGAAGTTGCTTGATGGACACAAGTAGACGAGTCACTGCAGATTCAACGGCAGGCTGCCCCGAAGTCAACTAGGATCCCAGAGTAGGATACATATCGGAACACACATGTGCAGCACTTCTGGAGCCTCCGCGTTCACTCCTGCTTGAGGTCGAGTGGGTTGAAGACGACGACATGTTGGTCTCGCGCCGTGAGCTGGAGCTTCCGGCGGCTGGATTTGAAGGCAAAGTAGACCTATTAGACATGGGAGTTACAGTTGAAGCCACTGGACGCGCGGTACATAGAATCGCACAGAAAGTGTGTGCTGTGACTGAGGTCACTCCGGTCACAGAGCAATTTCTCCTTCTCCGCTCATTGTATGAGGTGAATCTCATGCCTGCTACTGCTACGATCTTTCTACACCATTGACACGACTGAACAGAAAACATTCAGACTTCAATGGCCATTCCCCTTCACTCGGTTTGCCGACCGAAGTCCTTGCCGAAATCTTCGAGTTCGCATGTCCACTAACAGTCTCACATGTCTGCCGCCTCTGGCGCAACATCGCAATCAGCCTCCCCAGACTTTGGGCTGACAATATTGACTATCACCACGACCACACCGAGCTTGTCCAAGAACAGTTACGCCGCGCATTCAAATTTCCTGTAGCGATCAAACTTCATTCTCCCATGAATTATCATCGTGGCATCCAGAACCTTCATCTCGCATTAACAACATCCGCCGTTCACACTCTCGACATTCAGGGCCCTCCGCAAATGTTTGACGAGATCTGGCCCAACTTGGATGCATCTGTACTCCAAAACCTCTCCCTCTTTATCCCCTGGGTTCGAATGCCCCAAAATACTCCCTACCCTGGGCCCGATTTCGAGCTGCGTGCTCCACAGCTTCGCTCAGTGTCATTGTCCAATTTCGTTGTTTCTTGGGATGCCACGATTCTCACCAACCTGACGCGTCTCCGTCTTCATTTGTCCACCTCGCAGTTTGCCCCACCGATGTCTCAAATTCTTGAAATGTTATCTTGCTCTCCCAAGCTATTGGAGCTCAATCTCATCCATGTAATCGAAGCTTCTTCTCGACTTCCATCTTCCGAGTCAGTTGCTGTTGTCGCTTTGTCCCACCTTGCAGCATTCGTTCTCGACGAAGACATAAGAAACACTGTGTTCCTTTTGCGTCACCTTGTAGTCCCAGCTGCCTGCGCACTCACACTCAAAGTCTTTCATCGGACTCAACACGAACTCTCTGATTTAGGGAGTTCGATTCGCGCGTCTCCGCCAATGGTCAGGCTCTGCGTGGAAGGAGAACCGACCTCGATCGTTATTCGAGGATATGCCGAATCTGGCTCCGCTAGCCCTCACAGACAGATCGCCTTGCGCACCCGTGCAGGATATTCCGCGAAAGAAATTGCGTCCATAGCAGGAGCGTTTCTAGAGTCTTCCACGCTCACCACAGCG